AGAAAATGAGCCGTAAATATCGCTACGGTGTACTTGAGATTTAAGTTGTGTCAATTAATTTAATTACATTATGATTTAAATATTTTTCAATTATGTTTCATGTATCAAAATCTTCATTACAAAGTTGAATATATTTTTTAATTATTTTATTACGCATTTTAAATTAACAATTGATGTGAACGTTGTTAACAAGGCCTTTGAGCGACCTATTTAAATGGGGTAGCGATGTGTTGAGCGCAAAACGAACGAAACGAAGTAGATAAAATAAACATTACACGTGTACATACTATTAATAAACTATTCTGCGCTGCATTTGTTGGGAAACTAAGCTACTATCGCGCGACGTGTATGAGGACACCAAATGAAATCGCTTGTTTCTAATCTTCACGGGAACAGCCTTGGGGTGGCTATGCAGCCCATTTCTGTTGGACAACGAAGTGCAGTGCTGCCACCTTTCTCTTTTATGAAGCCCTCTTTAACTTTACGGTCATTTACGGCTGAACTGTATATAATGATAGGTCAGGGAAGAGATTAGCAATTTGACACGTTTTAGGTGATGTTTACATAAATTTTCTTGCCGTTATCATCTGTTCCGTCCATTTTGCTTGTTTTGGAGATAACTTACTCCAGCATATGTTGTGAGAACTTAAATTTAATCCTAGGATTGTGCTTGTACAGAGCTAGGTTTGTAATAAATGCCCAACGAGATGTGAGACCCGTGTCAACGATGGCGAATTTTCCACAATATATAGCTAAGTTCAATTTAACAGTGGTTAACAGTTAAGGAGGATTCTGGCGACAAGCTGCTCAAACCGGTAGTTCTCCGTGGTTTATGTGATCAACTCTAGGCAACTGCCAGAGCATACCGTAACAAAAGGGCGTTGGTTGGGCGCGCTTTTTCTTTCCTCATCCGTGTACTAACCTCTCCCGACACACACACACTCACGCACATCACGGAATACATGCTCTACACACCCACTGATCAGTCAGAGATCAGAGCTTGTGCCGGCTGGGACGGGTCCTCTGGCGGAGATACGCGAATGTGCGAAGCCGACTTGTGGTCGGCGCCGAATCTCACGTTTCAGCGTGGATGTTCCTGGTCATCGGCTATCAGTCAAAGAAGTTGATGTACCCGGAAACAATGAGGGCCAGATTCACCAAACAAAGAGTAAGAGTTCACTCTGGAGTAAATCTTGTTTACTCGAGAGAAGTATAAAGTACGACAGCGCAAACGACCCGCGAGTTTGATATACGAGTACTTTTTAAAGCTGCCCTCAACCTGCACACGAGGTCCGCACCCGTTCCCCGAGAAACTGCTTCGTAGCCGAAAAGGCTACGGATTCCTTTCGTAGCAGAACAGCCTAAAGAGATTTCCTCGTTTTGAAACCTTTTAGACCTTGTTAGCTGAATAAGCTAACAATCGCAAAACAGTCTAAAAACTCCATTCTCACGCAGGTTATGCTAGTGCAAAAATTTTTACAAAAAGACCAGTCGCTTTCAGGTCAGTGAACTTCGAGAGCACCTGTATTGAGGAGTGCAGATAAGATCGTTTCCACAATATGTTTTCATGAGAAGGCTGACAAAGGGCGTTTCGAGAGCGACAGCCTTTCGTCAGCAGGCGTTACTTAGGAGGCCTGCAGAAGTTGCAGTTGAAGAGGTTCCTGTGCTGCCCTATCCTTTCTCCGTTCCCTGCGCCGCCTCACCTGTCTAGCTTGCCCTCGCCCTCCTAAACCTACCCGCACCGCTTCATCGTGCCTTGCCTGGCCTGCCTTGCCTGGCCTGCCTTGCCTGGCCTGCCTTGCCTGGCCTGCCTTGCCTGGCCTGGCCTGCCGTGCCTGGCCTGCCTTGCCTCTACTATCCCTGCCATGTTCGCTACAATCGTTGCTGTAGGCAGCAGTAAACATGTTGGGAGTACAGGGAGAACTACGCATTGTTGCATACTCCTGGCAAACGCCCAGTAACAATTTTGGCCTTTAATTCCTCTGAGCCTAATTGCGCAATTGGAATGAATTAAAAATGCATTTAGTACCAAATTTAATGGGTTTCGGAAATTATTGATTCACTTTGGTGGAGTTACTCACCGTTTCTCCAGATATGGGGGAAACGAAAAGTCCGCACAATTAAAATTTTTCTCTCAGCCTTTAAGGAGCTTAAGAGTCTAAGGGCCGGTTTCACCAAACAAGGAGTAAAAGTTTACTTTGGAGTAAATCAATCATCGAGAGTAACTTCTTGGAGCGTTTAACCAACACTTTACTCGAGTGTAAATCGCTTACTTACTACATATAAATTTACTCTGCGAAAGGGTAAAGTACGAATTAAGCTCAGTTTTCAACGTGCGTGAACCTCTCAAGTGTTGTTATGGCTCGATGATTACGAATGATAGTAGTTGAAGATGATTCCTGCGATGATTCGCAGTAGTCGGACTCTAGTGCGAAGACAAAGGGTGCTGGAGAGAATGGATTGGATTTCCCAATTATGTCCATCGTGAGTTTGTCAAGGGATTATGTGTGACCAAATCAGCTGTTAACTTCTTCAGGTACACTATAAACTGTAGAAGACGGCAGTATGGTACTCTCGTACTCGGCAGTTTGCGAAACCTGCCTTAAATACTCATGGGACGCGAGGACCGAGTTTCTTCTTTTGCATGTAAAAGTTGCGAGCATGTCAACGGAGTTTTGTACTTTGGAACGAAATGCGCCTTTTTCGGTTACGCTCTACTGTCCGCCCACGAGTTCTTGATTTTGTTAGATTCATGATGAAAGTGGGGTAGTTATTTAACGAAATAACTACAGGTTTATTTTTTTTATTAATTTAGAAAACTACCAACCGGTCGTTCTCTAAAATCGAATCTGTAGCTTGTTTGCGGATGCAAATATTTTTTTTATATGAAAACAAACATTTGTTATCAGTTGTTGCCAACAACGGCCATTGCTATCTTTTATTTCTAATCGAACGTTTCGTTGTTGGGGTGAGGGAGTACGGATTCCGTTGTCCAACGAAACCGGTGGTTTGGTACTACTTGTCCTGGGTACTTGGGTATGTGACGTCTTGTAAAAACCACCTTGGCGACCGACAGGCACAATTTTTTTGCAACACATCTTCTAATTTTAATGAAGATTTTGTTGAGATTTTCATGACATATAAAAAATAATTAAATCTAAAATGTAAGACAAGAGCTTCAGCTAAAGGTATAGCATAATGCAGTATTCGAGATTGTATTCCAAAGATTCTCGTCAGAAATATTAACAGCATCTTATTGAAAAGAACGAGTGATTTTTCACGCCTCACTTCGTATTAGAGTATAGTATATTCTTCAACGAGCGCATAATATAGCCATTATTGACGAGTTGCTACGAGTGATTTCTACGAGCGAATAATAGCCATTTTGCGCAAGTAGAAGACTGTACTTTCTCCACGACCTCGAAATTTTCAGAATAGATTTTGAACCGATGTTTCGTTATTTCCGTCGGTGAAACACGCGCTTAGCTCCTTGGCAACCAACCATTCAACGCTTTAAGCGCGCGTCTGTAACAACGACCCTTAAAATGCTTTTAATTCTTATTTATGAATGGGGTTAATTACCCGATGTTCAAGATTCTTTTAATTTGTAAGCGAACAACGGGATCGTGTGGTTGGGTGAACACTTAAAAATGTATTGTGGAGGAACGTGTGCTTGTGGAATGGGGCACAGCGGCGGGGGGTGGTGGAGGGGAGAGGGGGGTCGCTAACGGGCTGTCGGGACGTTGGCTGCTTTCAACAGCAGGCTACAATAGACCTGAATGGTACTATTGAAATGATTTAATTCGCCTGCTCATATTTACATGAATAAAGTAAAGAGAGCAGCCCTTTGTAGAAAAAATCTATGATATTTTTCTTGTCAAATCATATGAAGATTTATTATCAATAAAACAATGAAGTTTTACAAATTTTTTATATTTGATTTTCCGAGAGCGACGTTTGTAACATTGTTCGAAAAATTATTTTAATAGTTTAATTTAATGAATTTTTTGAAACATTTTTTGCTAATTTTTGAAGAAAAGGGGTAATATATTTGAGAAAATGCGATAATTGTTAGGATATTAAAGCGTAAGTTACATATAATTAAAAATCCTCTCAAGGGAATACATCAGTTTTACCTGAACTACGTTAGCTGGGGCAGTGGGATCGGTCGTTCGTCCTGTTCCCAGTTCTCAGTATACACATGACATGACTTATTTGAAATACACAAGTTGTGAAATATATAGGAGGAAGGATGAACTATATGCTACTTTTGAAATGAAAAGTCCTCAAAACCGTGAAATTCTACAGTATTTCCTAACCACGGTAACGTGGATAGTGGGATGCGTTTTTATGTCGGTCCCACTAACTCGCTTCCCACCCAGTCCCACCTCCATATGATTTATGGGAGCGCGATAGGTAGAGAATCGATGCTGAAGACACGAGTGCAGTTGTGTTCGGTTTGTGGGTGGGAATGCGGTTATGCCCTGCGTACTGGTCGTGGGTGCCACTGATCCAGTGTTTATCTTATAATATTGTATTAATACAACAGGATTACATTTGTAAAACCTATGAAATCAGAATGAGTTCATATAGAAGCTAACTATATACACTTCCTGCAAATCATTACAACATTTTAATTATGCATTACACAAGACTAAGGTGATAAAAAGTTTCGGTAGGACGCCTATCTCTTCGTTGAAAGAAAGGTCACTTTCATCTCTTTTCACCTCAGCCCCTAATTGAATTTGAAGATTTTCTACAATGAAACGAACACTCGTAATCCTGTGTGTGACTTTCCGTTAGTCAGTCTGTGAATCCGAGCTTGGATTGAGCAGTATTGCAAGAATGAAATACAAGCAATGAATTAGCAGTTTTGTTCCATATATCAGCAATTATGCACTTTTTTTAAATGTTGACATTTGGAAACTTCCATTGGCGTGGAAGCCAACCTGGAGCAGTCCGTTCGCATAACCCCTACGTGTATTCCTGTGCCCTGTCAGGTGCTGGCGACTAATGTGACACGTGATGACGACGACGAGGCTCACGGCAAGGAGGGAGGCGGCGAGTCGTCGTCGTCGGGGGCCGGGGCCGGGGCGGG